AAAAAAAAAAAAAAAAAAAAAACTCAGGGAGGGGTTCCATCTATCCCCACCCCCCACGGTGGGGGTATGAGTTTACTTGTACGTCCGAGGGTCAAACTGAAGCTCGCGTAAAGGCATTTCCTAGTGAGAAACGCTTAAGGATAACGTGTGTTTCTTTCTGTAGATCGGACAGTGTCAACCACTGCCTCAATCAAAGAGCTAGCCACTCCTGTGTCTAACGAGCATGCGCAGTACGATGCGTACCGGGGGAACTTAGTGGAGCCTGTCCAATGCGAGAATTGTGTGGATGTCTTTGTAATGAAGGAACCGTTCATCATGTCTGTTAAACAGGTAAACCTTATGTGGTCATAAATGTATACAAAATATACCATACGGTTACAAGCGAGTGGAGTCCAACTAGTCTCCTCCGCAGCCGTTATTAGGGTCGTCACGCAACGCTTCTCCCCCACTAACGGCCGTTAGTGGGGGGAGAAGCGTTCAGTGACGACCCTTATAACGGCTGCGAGGAGACTAGAGTCCAACAGGCCATATTCGTATTCTCGGTATTGGACTGGAACTAGCATACGATGGAGGCTCATGCGGGGGAATATCATTAAAACAGAGATTAATGTCATTTAAAAAGCCCCCCCCCCCCGAAATAGCCTCAGTTGCAAGCTAGTTCCAGTCTAATACTGGGAATACGAATAGGGTCTGTTTGATGTGAGATCATACGAATTAATATCAGCAAGGAAAGACGTCGGACGATGACAACTTGGGTTCACCCACTAACCTGTTGCAACAAGTTGTATCTGTGGTTCTTAAAAAGAGAGATCGCAGGTCAAATGTCCTTAGCCCTAAAACAACAAGATGAAAAGGAAAAAAAATGTTCTGCTAGGAATAACGAGAATTGAATTTCCAAGAGGGTTAAAAAGAGTTGAAGTTTCATTGTTTTATTTCATTCAGTTCGTGTGGTCAAATAGCAAACTAAGTAATCGAGAGTTTATAAACTGAATAGCTTAAAAGAGCTCAGTCACGGTTTGCGCATATTGAAAAGTTTAGCCTCAATTTCTCAACTTCGTCTTTTGTAATCCGTGTCAATCTTCTCCATCCTTAGCCATCCTTGTTCCTTTATGGTGTATCATTATGTCTTTGGTGTTTTTCTATCTTATTAAACTGTCATTTTCAGGTTTCCTACCATTTGAAGGTAATTTTGTATGTGGCCAAAATAACTCAAAATACCGTGACTTTGCTCCTTTAAGCATTGGACGAGCAAAAACTCTTGTCGATTCTCATCAGATTTGAGCAATTCAAGCCAGGTTGAGTATGGACGAGAGTCGAAAAGAGCTTTCGAGATTGGCAAATGACAACGTAAATTCGAGTTCTCTGTTGTGTGATATGGATTCTGCAGCCCAACAGAACTCGATGGAGAATAACAAGTGATTTCTTTCCTTCAACCAGATGACAGAATTTAGGAAGGCGCCCCATTGTGTGGAAAATGACTGGGCGTTCTAAAACTGGTAGGTCGCCATTTCTAATCTGTTCTTGTTAGGAACCTTATCTATAACTCATGTGTAAAATGATTAACTGCCAACGATGAAACCTCAAAATTCCTTAGTTTATAATCCATCAAATATTTTCGCTAGTTCGCGATTGGTCTAAACGGGTCACTTGACTGAATATTCCCTAGTAAACTAGGGGATATCCGAGGGCTATTCCCTAACTTTAAAACGTCCCTCGTGTGGCGTACATTTGAAAGATAATAAACACAACAGTTTCCATTTGGGGCGAAAATATGCCCGAATGTTTGTCCTTGGAAATTATCTGTTCCTCGAAGCTCACAATTTTCCTTGACCTTCACACTCGAAAAACTGTTCGCTTCTCGAAATAATTTCCATGGACAAATATCCGAGCATATTAACCCACCAAAGTAGAGGCTGTTGTTTATATAAAACCAGTACCCACAGAAAGTTTAGTTAATTTAATATTCATTATAATTTACTGTTATTTACAATGCTCCCAAAAATACAAAGTCTGTTATGGCCGTTATCCTAACCTTGCATAAGGCCGGTGCCTTTGAGTTCGTGTCGTTTCAAGTAACGTTTTGTAAGCGAAATAGAAAAAAACCTTGTCATTTAGGCACAAAAGAAATGTAATCCTGGGACAATCCGGCTTCGAATGTCGCTTGCATTACGGGTAGAGCCACCGTATGCAAGGAATTCGAGCTTGCTAGAACCCCAACAAACTGGGGTGGTTCGTTAATCGTATTTTTTACTATACAGGGCTTGTTTTGATATCAGGAAACTAGAGAAATGAGTCTTGTCTTCTATCATGCCATAGGAAGATGCCTTCGAGACCGAAAAGAGATCGCCTGATATAATGCTTAATGAGTAAAATAAGTTGAATGTCTGAACATGTTTGTGTCTGATGTTAAATCATTTCAACAGACCAACTCACCCATCAGTGGAGTGGATGGAACATTTGACAACTGGACCGGACTCCTGGCATGGAATTTTGAACTTAACTAGCCTGCGTGCAATCTTCCACTATTTCCTTTCACCGCGTGAAAGAAGATGTCCTTACACAGGACGTAACCAGAATGTATAAAGTATGATGAGTAAATACGGTGTTGGTGGAAATGATCACAGCTAAACGCTTTTTGACTCTGGTTTTCATGGACAGATATATTCGGAGCTTTTGTAAAAAAGCAAAATAAGACAAAAGGAACAGTTTTTCGAGCAAACCAGTCAGGACATAGAGTACTTTATGAGTAATCATTGCCATGAATTAACCATCCTTTTATCTGCCTAAAAAATATGATTTCGTTGCGGACTTTGACCGGGCCGATTCTGAGATTGACTTCATTTTCAATGCTTTATCTTTGGCAGGCCGCAAATTGCATAAGGACATCAGAACCACCATGGCGACTATCGTCAAAATGGTCTAACAAACTGGAACAGATAGAT